GCCGGCGCTCGCCCTCCCCCCCCCCCCCCCCCAAGCGCTGAGCGCCCAGGGCCAGTGCTAGCGCTTTCTCCCCCCCCCCATGCGCCGCGGGGGGTGAATCCGCGGCACCCCCGGGGCCGGCGCTCACCGTGCGCCACGCGCCCGGGGCCAGCTCCGGCACCGCGCATGCGCCACGTGCCCGGGGCCAGGCCAGCCCTGAGCACTTGGCAGGCGCAGACAAATGCCCCCGCGGGCACCGTGTTGGGGACCACGGCTCTAGTGCCTACCCTCCCCGTGCTCCGGGGGCCAGGGAGGCTGGAGCCGCCGTACGGCCTCCTCCCTCCTCTGGGGAGGCGGAAACCGAGCTGCATGGCCTCCTCCCATCCCAGTGCTCCAGGGGCCGGGAAGGCTGCAGTGCATGCACATGCCACTTCCATCTCTTCCCGTGGGGGCGCTGCCTCACCTCCTCCCCTCCCCATGGGGGCAGGGCCTCAGCAAAGGAGGTGGGGTTAGGTGGGGTTGGGGACCTGTCTCCCTCAGCCCCATCTGCACTAACTGACCATGGTAATTTCCATTGTGGATCTGGACCATAGTAACTGGCTTACATCTTGAATCATGACAAGAGATTTTATTTCTCATACAGTATATCTTTATCTTAGGTAATGTAACTGCATAAAAAAGATAAAAATAAATCTGGAACAGCTAACTTCAGTGTTACTTTTTATTTATAGTGTGGTATTACCTAATTATGACAGCCTCATCATGCTGTATAAACATAACAAAGAGATAGTACTGGTCCCAAAATCTTACAGCCTAATAAAAGGGGAGAGAATAGTTGGTTCCTCTCTGATTTTGTAATTCAATTGTAAGCTCTTCAAAGTAGGTACAAGATAACAGTGAAATGATAGTAGTCAGACAACATAAGCAGCTGAGCACATCACCTACATAACTGTTATTGACAATTTTGTAGGCTTCATGGTATAGGAGAATTATAAGAAGGGATTTGAAGGAGGACAATGTGGTGGCTTTGTGAATTTTTACAGGGATCTCCTCCTGTGGATAACTGACTGCAATTAACTTGAGGTAATTAATACCCCTATAAAGGCTAATTTGGACTTTCTCCCAATTTTTGTTCCAGGCAACAAATGTTTGTGGCTTACCATAAAGATAAGAGATGTGTGTTTGGTGAAGACTACCTCAAGTGACTGGTCATTTTGGTGACTAGGGGAATTAATCCTAGACTATAGGTACACCAGCAATCCTAGACTATAGGATTTTCCAGGACAGTCTTGATTTCAAATATTCTGTCCCATTGTCCCTATAAACCATCAAAATGTCCCAGAAATTCCAATCCTTCAATAAATATTTTGGCAGGGGCAGAGAAGAGAGAAAGCCCTAAGACTCCCTGCTGGACCTTGCTTGTGGGGAAGAAATTCATCTAGAAGTGGCTGCGTGTGCTGCTGCTCCCCCTCCCCGGCTGGGGGAACAACAGCACAGGAATGTGCTTTCCTGGAGGCTTTTCCCACTGCTCTGGAATCCGGCCAATAGGAGCAGCGGGAGGCGGTGCCTGGGGCATGATGTTGGGAGCTGCGCAAAAGCAAGTAAGTGGCCCCCCTTCTCCTCATGCCCAAACCCCACATCCCCAGCCCACTCACTCACCGCCTCCATCAAGACCCCGCAGCCCACTCATTCACTGCCTCCATTCAGATCCCGCACCCCCAACCTGCTCACTCACCACCTCCACCAAGACCTGCTCATTCACCACCTCCACCAAGATCCTGCACCCCAGCCCGCTCGCTCAGCACCCTGCCAACATCCTGCACCTCCAGCGTGCTCACAAATCAGAAAAAAATCCTTTGTCAGATCACGTGTCCCAATTTTGGTTTGGAAAATAGGTTCACCGTAACTATAGGTCAAATGAGGAAGTGAAAGCAAAGAGATGTCATAGTGTAGTCTCCTAAAAATCTCTCTGTACACTTTGTCCACTGGGAGCACAAATTAAATATAAGATATCCAGTTCACTCCATTGCTGTGTTATGCAATATGCTTAGTAAATCTGTGCCAGGATTGTGCCTGTGGGGAGAGCTGTGACAGTTGTCCCAGGCTGTGTCTATACTGCACCCCTTTTCCGGAAAAGGGATGCAGATGAGACAAATCGGAATTGCAAATGAAGCGGAGGATTTAAATATCCCCCGCTTCATTTGTATAAACATGGCTGCTGCTTTTTTCCGGCTCGGGGCTTTGCCGGAGAAAAGCGCCAGTCTAGACGGGATCTTTCGGAAAATAAAACCTTTTCCGAAAGGTCCCTTATTCCTCTTAAAATCAGGAATAAGGGACCTTTCAGAAAAGGCTTTATTTTCTGAAAGATCCCCATCTAGACTAG